CCTACAAACATACCTATAAAAATAAGAACAACCTCGTACTGTATTGTGACTATACTGTTCAGTCGTTCGTTCAGTACCATAATCTTCGAGAGGATCGGACCTGATCAGACAGATTCAGAGAGGAAATACAAAGATTGCAAGTTTATCGAGTTTTACCATAATAAATCGCACATCGGTCCGTATGGAGGTGGCTCTTTGAAACGATCGAGTCTTTTAATATCTTCAAGAGTATGGATTTCAGGTGAAAGACCGCCGTGTACACATAAGAATTGACCGTTCATTAGAGCAGCTAAAGAAAGAAATCGATTTCATCAGGTACGACAAAGAGACGAAAAAGTTGATCGAATTTTTCTGTATGTCAAACGCTTAGACTTATTAATGAAGCTGAAAAAGTTCCTATATGAAAAGAGAAGTGCGTTTCGTAAAAGCGTTTTTTCTTACCAAGTGGTAAACAATCAAATGCTTCCATACATGCATTGTACACACGTTCGGTATATTTTATTTTACCTGAATATATAAGTCCATAAACATACGATCGAAACAAAAACATGTGAATCATCGACTTACACTCAGTTTTAAAAGTAAAATATTCGGTTAAATGTCGACATTCATGATTTCCACGTAGAAGAAAGAATGTTGTGGGATAGAGAATCTTCATTGACCATAGATAAAGAACGCACTAATAAAGACAAAGGACGATGTTTCAATATCGAACGATCGATGATTCATCAATCTCTTACTTCAATGCTAAAATAGCCTCTATCGACATAATCTCCCAGAAATAAATATCGGGTTGTCGCAGGTGAACCACCCACTTCGAATAACTTCATTAAATCATAATACTGTCCGTGAACATCACCACAAACTAAAATTTCGCCGAAGATGAAACAACAGATTCGTTCAGGCAAATTCGCGAAATACCTGTGATCGGTGCTTCGACATCAATCATAGTTTTTTCTTGGCGTAGTAACTTTGCACCATCTTCAATTATTTTAAGTGCAACATCTTCAGTGACACGTCCTTCTGATATAAAATGTGTTTTTAGTACATCCACGCGAGGTTTTCCACGTGAATCGAATACATCATAAGCTGTTAAACGTGCATTTGGTGGACATGGAATGGCTAGATAAGTGATGACACATTTCGTATGCAGTGGCAAAGAATAGAAATATCCGCTGCTTACTTTTCATGACACGTTCAACAGTCGGCATTGGTAATGTTGCATCAGTTGTGGATGGCGGTGATGAAGAGAGATTTGTTGCTGTGGGTCGAGTGGACGAAGAGGAAGTGGAAACATTATTCGAAGTTGTGTTATTGGTTGCCATGGATTGTTACTATCAGGAAGATTCAAAACGAGAGTTCAATAACATTGATAGTCTTTGTTTTGATAAATGATCTAATAACATGACAAGAGAAGAACATAGATCTGAAATGAGACGTAATAATCGATGATTATGTGTCCTTCACAAGATAATAATCAATAAGGACACCTGCGTATATGCACTTTGAGAAAGTGAGGAAAGAGACTCATGCAGAACCACATACCGTCCATTGGGGCATGAAAATGGATTTTCTACTTTCTCTCTCTCCCTCACTTTTTTTTACACATAGGCACGAAACGATATTTTTCTTTCTTTCTTCTTTTCTGTTGAATGTATATGTTTGTGTGTGTGCACGGCATGTCGACGAGATAGAGCAAAAGAAATTCATTTATCATCAAGTTTTTTTTTCTTGTCGTAAGAAGGGGAAAGAGAAGGAGTGAGAGAGAGAGAGAGAGAGAGAGAAAACGAGAAAGGAAGAAAGAAACAAAAACGAAGGAAAGTAATAAGCTTTCTTTTTTTTCTTTTTTACTCGCATTTGTTTTTGCATCGTCGACGATGCTGTTGTTGTTGTTGTTATAGGAGCATGTATGCCAAACAGCAAGCCTTTTTGCTTTCTTTCATTTTTTTTTTCTTTTCACATCATCGACAAGGGACTAAATGAGCGCGAACCATCGTTCTTTTCCTCCTCCTCCTTCTACCCATCAACAATATTTAGATATTAATAGAGAGAAAGAGAGAACGAAAGAAAAAAAGAAACATAACAAACAAGTAAAATACTGTTTCTTCTTTGTTATTATTATATTGTCTAGTAAATCGATTGTTCTTTCGATTGGTAATGACATAATACGCAGAAGCGTTTTTCTTTCTTTTGTTTTTCGTATATACAACACTCGACTCGATTCGATTAATGTATGCAAATGGGTATCAAAGATCGTTGATTCTCAAAGAATCTATCTTTCTTTTTTCTTCTTTTTCTCACCGCTCGATGAGACAAGGACATTATTAATAATACAAAAAAAGAAACCTCGACTACGATGCACAAGGACGTAGAGTATCGCATGTATACATGGTTTGATTTCCGGTTAATGTTCGAAAAAAGATTTCTTTTTTAAACGATAAACTCTATGTTAGCGAACATCCTTAAGTTTAGATTTCATTTCCGTTTGCATGAAGACAAGCAGGACAAAATCCAAACTGAGAAATGAGAAAAATGAATCCTCTCTTTCTTCTGCTCAAAACTTAATAATAAACGATACAGAAGCCGAACTGCGACGAGCGAGAGAAAAATTTCTGGGCGGACTAGAAAAAATAAATAAATAAACACAATACATAAGCAAGTAAAACGCTTCACTGATTAACATTAACAATTGATCAATTGAATCAGAAGAACCAATAGATGTTTTGGAGTATAAAGAAGAAAAATAACAATTGAAACACTATCTATCGTAGTATTAAATGTTTCAATGGATAGAAGCAAACTGCAATAAGATGAGAATATCGTTTACAGATGGCGCTATCCACCATGTAATGACCATAGTTAAACTAAAAAACCTTGAAAAAAAATCCGAATATAGATATTTACAACGCAACAAGAACAACAAGTTTTATCTCTCAGCAGTCACGACACTAATCCTATGCGATTCGTGCAATCAATCATCTACGTACTTCGCGTCTAATTCCTAAATTTCGCCTAGTTTCACATGAGAATAATTATTTCTCTAATCGAATCTTTCACTAAAATAAACAATAACTAGTTTGTTATTTATTCTTTCCATATGTTATTTATCCTTCTAACAATTAACCAAAGATGATTGGCAAACTTGCTGCGAGAAAATAACAACGATATTTTCAATCTCATTCGAGTATTGAACAGGAGATCATGCCATGATTTGCTCGTTACTCACGATGCAATATTTTTTGTTTACTTACCAAGCATCTTTCAAGTAGCAGTATCTTTTCTTCTATATTTGCAATCGATCAATTGTAATAATAATAAAAACAAAAAAGAGGAAATTAATGTTTAGGCCGTTGATAATATGCGTACAACGAAAGATGGCTGAAGAGTGATCAGCAGCGAGAAAATCAAGTTTTTGGTAGGAGAGAGAAGAAACGCATATCGACTTTAATCGAATTGGACTTGGTGTGTAAAAAAAGCCGAGGAGAAAAACGTTAATTCATCCTAAATAGTTCCGATTATGTGTTGTTACTCTGGTGATCATAACAGAATATAAAAACCAGTTTGATTAGAATCTGTCTCGAGTCAGAGGGCGCAGATACGAGCTTCTGTACATGAAAGCAGCTTTCTCTGCTCGACTCTCTTTTTTTGTCAATAATAATAAAATCAATCTGAAAGATCGAACCGAACTCTTCCTTCTCCAAAGTCTTTATTTCTCACTTAGAGACTCTTTTGTCTTCGAGATCCCTCGATGCCCTCCCATGTATTTCCTGTCGGATGATTTCCGTTGCCATTTGTTTCTTTCAGTCATCATTTGTTGATCTGTCAACTTAACTGATAGGCAACACTTTCCTGAATATCCAACTGAAGATATGTTCGATCAACAACTCGTTTTCACGGCTACAGACATCGGTCGGCAGAAAACGAGCTCTGATTTCTACTGATCGTCGTGAACGTGCTTACCAATTTCTCGGAAGAATATTAACGCGCAGCATCGGGATTCTCTTAGATAGAGAAAAGGTTTTTCTCTTCAGTAGCTTTAATGCAATGCTCATTTTCCTTTTTTCCCTACTCTTTTGCTCTCTGTTTTTCCTCCGAAGAAAAAAAAAGCGAGAACTAACGACGATTCTAATTCGAGTGTGTCAAACGCAAGAAAAGAGAAAGTATGATGTGAAAAACTAAGGAAAAAAAAAGAAGAAGAAGCAAAAAACGCGCAAATATAAAGAGGGGACTAAAGTCGTGTTAATATTTTTTCATTAGGTTTCAGCTGCTGCAAGATCAGAACTACCGAAGGACGCAAGTTCGAAGACTGAAATGGGACGCGAAGACAAGCACATTCGATTATGAACTGTCTTCGATAGATAGGGGAAACACTTTTTATAGTAATGCGCTTAATTAACAAAATCAAGTCACAGTTAGATATTGTTGACGTCATCGAAGAGTTTATTTTGATCATTGTCAAAGACTTTACACAGCTTTATTTAGCTTTTTGTACTTGAGACGAGAGAGAGAAAAAGCGCCTAGCTTTCTAAGAATACCTGACTAGTTCAAAGGATTGATAATTATCTCTACTGGTTTTCTCACTTTATCTCTCTTTGTCAATTTTGGAATTAATAATAGGTTGAGTAACAGAAATGTTCATTGTTGTTTTTATAGCTTTCACCAGATGTTATTTAATTGCTGAATGTTGTGATAAATAGCATGTGTAGCAAATCATGGCGATAAATATCTGACTACACTAGCTAAACGGAGTCGAAGAAAGTCAGACAGCAATACGAGAAGAGGAATCTAATTAAAATGATGAAAGAGAGAAAAACGACCGACTGAGCTAATTCTTCAAACAATAACTATTGTAACCAGCTTTAAGCTATTTATGAGTTAATTCTCCTTCTCGGTGGCCTTTTGCAGAATGAGAAGTCATTCGATTGGTAAATTTTCCTATATTGTATTCTTGTTTTCTATAATGTCAAAATAAGGTGACATAAGTCATCTATTATTTAAAAGGCTTGATGTTGCTTGATAAAACTGACATTTTAGATTGGGAAAAAAGAAAGTCGAAACCTTTGATCGTACGACGGTAGGAGAGGGCATGGAGCGGCGCTGTCGTTTTCATCCTATTTAACTAGAAACTTTGAATCAATAGCTGAGTTTATTTCGTATCACGACAAATGTGTAATACTAAGACAAATAACGATCAAGGTTACGAAGTACTAGAACGTACATACGGCAAAAGAAAAACAGATAATTCAGTGAAAAGAAAATCACAGTTTTCATTTAATAACTAGGAAACGGCATGCGCTCGATTCCACGTTGTTGGCTAGTGAGTGAAGATGGAAACGAAGCACCGAATTTTGCTAAACAATCATACGTTGGAAAACAATACATTGTTGTTTGCTGATGATTGTAATTTGCTTTGTAGAATATACGTTCGAGATCATTGTTGTGATCGTATTGACAATCTTCTTCTTCGTGCTCGTCATCGGAATCGGAATCTTCAGTTGAATAAAGATCGATTTGTTTCTCTACTGTTCTTTTCAATGATACTCGAACAGTTTCTAAACAATTCATCTGTTGAAATAATTCAACACAATCATCAATCGCCACTGGTTGAAGAACACATTTGTAATGTTCGTAAAGATACTCAAGATTCACACCTGGATGATCAATGATGAATAGTAATAGCGATTCCATCATACGTTGCAAAACAGCATAGTTTATCGTGCCATCGGTTGATTTCCATGGACGAGGAACAAAAACAATACGCTAGAAGTATGTAGAAGTTGGGTTAGAACAAACAATAAGCGATGTCTTACTTCGCACTGATCGGAAATGAGCTGATTGTCTCCATTTGAGAAATTCAAAAGTTTCATTTGTCGATCGTCTTGCGTTGTTTGAATATCCGTTGCCAATGTTTTCGATGTGGATGGCGATTCAACAAAAGTACTGGTCAATAAAGTTTCCAGATTGTTATTATTATTATCATCGTGTTGTCGGAAACGAATAGAGTAGATCAGCCACGATCGTGCATATTTTCGATGCACAAATATTCGTGTGCGACTTCCTGCAGCAATGACGATTCCGCAAACGAGATAATCATTCAATTGCTTAATACATTCACAGAAGGTCATGGTGGATTTCACTTGTTGGTATAAATGATGAAAGGTTAAGCCGAATTCATGAGCGCTTAGAATTGAAGTAAGTAAAAGATTTGTTTCATCGGAATCAGTCTGTTGTTCCTGATCATAAACAGCTGAGTAGAAGGGAAAACGTTGAATCAATTTGTCAATTATATGCAGGCTTTTCTGAGCGTAGAAATGTTGAAATTGCT